ATTTAGGTTTTTAAGCTGCTGACTGCCTGTGGTTTTTATCAAGTGCACAGTACACGACCCAGCCACGGAGGCAGCTTTGCCGGGAAGAAAATTCTGTATAGCACCACCAGGCTCTGGTGGTTTATTTAACAAGCAAATCTGGCTTTTATCAACTTAAATAGCAGCTCTGTTCCTAGGCTATAAAATGGTGGTAGCTGAGTGAAGGAAAACTTAAGGATTTTTCTCCTTTCTCCTGTTACATCTGGCCCTTTTATTCAGCCATAAGAGATGAGCCAATACTTTCCTCCCCAAACCCAGCAATAAACCACAACCAAAATCCCACAAAAACAGCCCCTTTAGAAAATGAGAATCTAAGAAGTAATATGCCATTTAGCTTCTCCCTTTGTGGCCATGAGGCCAGGCGATGACCTGCCCAGTTCCACCAGCAGGCTGGGGGGAGAGTGGGTGACTCGCAGGCCCATGGTCAGCAGGGGCTAGCCCGTCACCACTTGGCGGGGATGGCGGAGGCGTGGGTGCTGGAAGGGCTTGTACCTAGTGCAGAAACAGATTTTGAACCATTCTATGCCAGTGTGTTTATTCAGAGACAGGGGCAAGACAGCAGAGGGCCTCTCCTCATTGATTTGTACCATTAGAGAAAAATAAATTTTCATCTGAAAAGCAATACTAATTCCTTACATGTGTATTGTACTTAACTCAGAGTTTCAAAATCCATTAGTAGATAGTGTCTCCTATGAATGTCATTGCAACTCTAAGGGGTAAATGTGGCAGGTGAAAGGTGAAGTCTTATTGAGAGGACGTGGCTTGCTCCAAATTATAAAGCTGGTCAGTGGTGGAGCCAGGAGGACAGAGGTCTAACCTGCGGGGTACAGCCCTGTTCTCCCACCCATCCCATGGACCAGACTTGAGGGGGCAATACAATGGGCCATCGTTAAAAAAACAAACAAACAAACAAACAAAAACAAGTCCCACACTGTCCTCAGTTTGGCCCTTCTACTCTTCCTACAATGGTATTCTAACTGTGCCCTTCAGCACACCTTTCTCCCTTGTTATTAAATGAAGGAAAGCAAGGAAAAGGCAGCTTGAGATAGGACACCAGGAACGACGGGGAACCAGCTGGGGCCCTCACCTGCCATCGTTGGTCCAGCTTTTTGCTGCACGTCTTCCCTGTCATTCGGCCCTGTTGTTACTCTTCAGGCACCACATGGCGCTCATTTCTGTGAATGAAAATAAATGACACCACACACTAGGCAGGAGATAAAGAATAATAAACACATTTTATTTGCCACCTCTGAATAAAAGGTCTTTGATGTCCTGTCCATCCATCAGGAAGTGGGCCTGGAACTCACAGCCACACACACACATGCACACATACGCACACACACACACGCACACACACAGACACACATGCACACACACATGCTTCAAGGGGGAAAAGACAATCAGGTTGTATTAAAATTACACGCTAGAATGACTGACGGAGAGTGGGGACAGAGCTGTCTGTTGCATCCTCCTCTTTCGGCTTTTTCACAGGACACCCTGAGAGCAGAGTGGCAAACAGACGTTTGAAAGGGTGTTCCCCTGCTTTTATTGACCCGTATTCCTTAAGTAACACATTAGGGTTTTCTGTGAGGGTCTCTGGGCTGTCTGTCACCTCTGGGGATGGCCATTTTAGGGGAGACACCTAGATGCAGGACCAGGTGAGGCAAGACAGGAGGTGGGATTTTGCATCCTAGGTGTCCCAATGGCCTCCGCTAGTCCCCCTCTTGCATAGAGAGGTGTGTGGCCCGGAGCTTCTTCAGCCAGAGAGGATGTCCAGGAAGCAGTGGCAGACACTGAGCGATCCTGTGATGTGTTTCTTTGGACTTCTGAAACTAACCTGATATTGCGTGCTTTATCTAGAGTCTGGGATCCAGGGTTTCCGAGAAGAGAGGAGCCAGATCGACATATTAACGTGAGCTTAATAAGATAACTTCTTGTGCTTTCTGGGCCACGCATCACTCAGCAGACAGACAGAGACTGGACGGGCTCCACGCTGTCTCCTGGAATACTCTTTAACCGAGGCATCCAACGCCTGGTTTCCTCCCGCTCTGCCTCAGTTCCTCTCCTTCTCACTGGTGAGAGCCAAGTTTCAGACAGGGCCTACCTGGGTGGGCCCAGCCTGACCTACACGGGCTGGCCCACCCTGACCTTTGCAGAACCTCACTCTCCAGCTTACAACTTTGCTTTCTGTGGAAACATAACTCCTATAGGACCGTGTGAGAATTTATCGCATTGTCAATCATTTCTGCCTTAGGAGAGGGTTCTGGGAAGACTTTGGCTGGGAGGGACAGAAATGGGCAGGAAGTTGCTGGGTGTGAGAAAAAGGAAGGTTGAAGAAGGGACAGGAAGAAGGAAGCCGAAATCACCGGCCCCTTTAGAGGGTCATCCTTGATGGTTGCACATCCGAGGAGGTGTTTAGTGGGCACTGTGGTTGTGCCACCTCCCTGGACTGTGGTGGCAGTGGGGGTGACAGAGGTGGCATAGGTTTAGTAAGTGTGGAAATGCCTTCAGTTGCTCTAGGGGGGGACCTATTCCGAGGGATCCAGGCAGAGGGTTCAGAGGTGGTGTCACCCACTCCGCATCATTACACAGGCTCCCTACCAGATGGCTGCACGGAGCAGGCAACGTCGCCCTTCTTTCTTTGGGCTTCAGAAACTACCCTGATGTTGGCATCATCTGTTTGGGACTAGTCCACGATCTGGAGTTTCAGAGAAGACAGGAGCCAGGTCAGCCTCTTAATATAAACATGACTGCAGAAGTCGGGTGACCAAGTGAGCTCTAGGGCACGTGGCCATTCACGCTCTCTCGCCTGCCCAGGCCTTCCGACCTCCGCGTCCCCTCGTGGGGGTGCCTTGGCGGGGTGCTGGGGCGGGGCTCTGATTAGGAAGGGGTGTACGCTTTCGCGTCGGCGTGCGTCTGTCAGCTCTGAACACCTGAGGGTCCCCCCGACTGTCAGCCCGCATCGCCACCTTCTGAGTCGGCTGAGTGTGCCTCACTCCGAGCGCGCGCGCCGTGCGCCCCTGTCACCATGTACGCGCCCCTCTCTGCCCCGCATCGCCACTGCCGGGGGGGCTGGGTGTAGGCCGAGGGGACCAAGGGGGGTGTCGGCAAACGTCCGTGCGGGGGAGAGCAGGCGAGTGGGGCGGCGGCGGGGAGGACCGCGCGGGGAGGCGCCCCCTGCCCCCTCTGCCGGCCGCTGTCCCTCGGTCTAGATGTCAGCCGCGAGCTCCGAGCCAGCGAGAGCGAGCCAGAGAGGGAGCGGCGGCGGGCGGCGGGGAGGGGAGGAGGCGAGGCGAGGGCGGGAGGAAGGGAAGCGGGGAGGGCGGGAGGGAGGAGAGGAGGACCCAGAGAGCGCCAGGCAGCTGGAGTTTTTGCAGCGCTTGGCCGGGCTTCAATGCACAGCAGCAGCGAGCCGCGGCGGCAGCAGGCAGCCCGGGAGCTCCGGCGGCGGCAGAGCCAGCGGCGGCCCCGCTCCCTGCCCCCTGCAAACTTT